ATATATATATATATATATATATATATATATATATATATATATATATATATATATAAAAATTTGACAGGGAATTGAAAAAATATGTCAGTTCAGTTTGTCACCCCTCTTCCATTCTTAATAATAGACAGAAGAGGGCAGACTAAAAACAGACACTCAATCCAAAATCGATATCAAAATACATTTTTGTATGGGTTTTACTGCTCTTTTTTATATTATTATTAGTAGTAGTAGCAGTAGCAGTACCGAATGGCAGTTTTATTTTAGTATTATTAATATATTACATTAAGTCGTAATATTTTGAATTCGATTTTTATTTTTTTCCATTTTCATTGTACTTAGTAATTTTGGTACTTCAACTTAAGCTACACAAAAATTTGAAATGTTGCTAACTGAAATAAACTGTTTTTATATTTTATTTCAGTTATATACATAGATTTGGTTAACAATAACAATGCTATATGGACAGATTATTATCCTATTTTAAGTTTCTTTGTTTTATTTGTTATTTGAAGGACTTTTTGAAGTACAGCACTAAAGCAGGTCTGGACTGTAAAGAGACAGAGGTAGGTCACTAAAGCAATTCTATATTAATATATATAAATTCTATAGACCACATACACTTCTATCTTTAGTGTCCTGTCATGTTTTGACATTGCTGGTCTTTAATTTCTGTCCTGCAGAAAGCAGTTGAGCTGATGTCCCTGGTGCCCAAACAATGTAACGACATGATGAATCTTGGACGATTGCAGGGCTACGAGGTAAAATCACCTCTTTTGAGGTACATTCAATTGTTAGTTAATGTAACTATAACTATTACAATTACAAATGTAATCACAAAGGTGAGTTACGTTTGGTTGACTGCCAGAAGCAGTGAGTGCCAATGTAAAATTACACTGACAGATAATTTCTCAAAGCAACATGATACATCTATTAGTGTAATAATAGAGTTCTATCATTATGCTAACACATTAGGTTTATACTGAAACTTCAGTTTGTCTTAACTGGAACGTTCACTAACAACGGACCAATCAGCTGTAAGTTTGATGTAATGGACTAACAAACTAATGAAGTTCCAAATAATAATGCAGAAAAATGCAGTTATTTTATGTGTCAAGAGAGAAAGTCCTGAAAAATTGCACAAGTTGCATCTAAGAAGTGTAAACTGCTACTTAAAGATGGCATAAAAGTCACAAAGTATTTAAGCTTGTTTCTGCTACAGGATTAAAAAAATAAATAAAAAGGTAATTGCTAAATTGTAAAAAGTCAGAATTGCGAGATGGCGACTCGCCATTGCAAGTTTATAACAATTCTGAGGGAAAAAAACTCAAAATTAGGAGGTGTACTTACGAGTTTATTTCTTACAATTATAAACTCGTAAGTACACCTCCTAATTATAAGAAAGAAAGTTGGAATGGTAAGATAAAAAGTTGCAATTATCTTTTTTATCTTTTATTCTGTGGCAGAAACAAGCTTCAGTAACAGATGCACAGGCCACATATACACACACACCATTCTACAACCAAATCTGCTTTCAAAAATTCAGACAGTTTGTCTGAGGTCAATGCTGGAAAATCACAGAAACAGAAGTACATAACCTTGACACACCTCCTAATTATAAGAAAGAAAGTTGGAATGGTAAGATAAAAAGTTGCAATTATCTTTTTTATCTTTTATTCTGTGGCAGAAACAAGCTTCAGTAACAGATGCACAGGCCACATATACACACACACACCATTCTACAACTAAATCTGCTTTCAAAAATTCAGACAGTTTGTCTGAGGTGCAGTGCTGGAAAATCACAGAAACAGAAGTACATAACCTTGATTTTCTTGAAATATCAGGTGATGAAAAGGTGCAGATATACTGTATCTATCAGTGCTTTGATGATTGCTTAGGATTGCTTATGTTTGTTTGCACAGGGGAAGTTGACAGCTCAGGGGAAGTTATTGCAGCAGGACACGTTCTTTGTGACAGAGCAGGACTCTGGCGTTCTGTCCCGCAGTAAAGAGCGCAGAGTGTTCCTCTTCGAACAGATCGTCATCTTCAGCGAGCTGCTTCGGAAGGGCTCGTCAACACCAGGGTACCAGTTTAAAAAGAGCATCAAGGTACATTCAGCACAAGTTGATACAAGTGCGGTAAGAAACAAAATACCCAACTTGAAATAAAGTCTTAAAAGTTTTATTTGTGTGTTGACCTGTGCAGGTGAGCTACCTGAGCATGGAGGAACATGTGGACAGCGACCCCTGTAAGTTTGTGCTGTCATGTCGTGGCTCATCTGAACGACTGACGCTACAGGCCGCTAACATCGACATCAAGAAAGAGTGGGTTCAAAGCATCCGAGAACTGCTGGACATGCAGATCAACTTCCTCACGGGTGAGCGCATTATGAAGGTGGCAGTTGGTATCTTCAGTTGCTGGTTCATTCATAACCTGCTCCTCGTCTGTTTTTCATCAGCTCTCCAGAACCCTCAGGAGTACCAGAAAAAAGAGAGTGGAGGTTCTTTGAGCAGGCAGCTGTCCAATAGCAGCCGTTCCTCATCCTCTCACCCCTCCACCCCCCTCAAACCCAACACCGCCCCCAACGGAAGCCCCACCCACAAGCCCAATAAGCATGTAGAGGAGGTGAGCATGATTCAGAATATCACATAAATCTCACATCAATTAATAACTATGACTGTCAATCAGTTAGCAATATTTGATACATTTTCTAGAAAAAAAAACTTCATATATAACAATAAATTAATCAAATTGCTCACATATCAATAATTGCTGAAGTAAGTGGTAGTAAGGAGTAAGAAGTGCTCTGATTGTAGGTAAATTCCATCATGGTGGTAGGAAACAATGAAAAAAAAATGTATGCCCACTAGGACAGCATTTATTTGATCAACAGTAAAAACAGTAATGTTGTGGAATGTTATTACAATTTAAAATAACTGTTTTCCATTTTAATACATCTTTTGTGGAAAATATATATATATTTTTTCAGGATTATTTGAAGAATAGAAAGTTCAAAAGAACAGCATTCTTTTAAAATGTAGTTTTTTTGTGACAATGTAAGTGTTTACTGTCACGTTTGATCAATTTAATGTGTCCTTGATGAATAAAAGTATTAATATATATATATATACAGAGCCGATCCTCCCTATACGCAAAATACGCAAGCTGCGAAGGGCCCCTGAAACACCAGGGGGCCCCCTTGCTCTCAAAGATGATTTAATTTTAGTTTCGTTTTTGAATTTGGCCAGCGGTTATGAAAACATGAATGATCATCTCTTTTAATGCAGTGCGCTGTCGACCTTTCTACGTAAAAATCAGTCAAATCATGTAATGTTAATGTCGTACAGTCTTGCTCGAGGCTTTCAACTTCGAAAAAACGAGTTGAAAGAGTACCAAACCGCGGAATAGACATTGTTTCTCAAGCGCTTTCCGCAAGCGCGATTCGAGACGGAGTGAAACACTTTATATACTGTATATATATTTATTCCACTCAAACTTTTGAATGGTAGTGTAGCTGCCTTCATATATTTTAGGGGGGCTCATCATATTTTGGGGTCTTTAGCATCAAAAAGTTTAAAAGCCTTGCACCGAACCATCTTTCACACCTACTAAATGATCTGAACTCTACGTCTAACTGATGTCCACAACAAATGCTCTAGAGTGAAAGCCTGTGTGACAGGAGACCAATTATCGCAATAGCATTCTGTGCTTAAACAGCATTGTGTAATCTAACTAAATCAATTAGTTACCCAGACCATTTTAATTAGCGTCTCATCCAGGCCAGATAGATGTAATTAAACATAATTGGTTCACACTACACTAGTCGCTGCAGTCTGTGCATGCGTCTCCTTGCTGAACTGGATGTGCCCGTGCTGCAGTGCTGTGAAGTTCCACTCTAATTGTCTTTGAGGGGAGGAGAGATGCCTGCTAGTTATTCTTAGTGGGGGGAATGGCCTAGATTTCCAGCTCTGCCCGTGTTCCATACCTGTTTCTCCTCTCTGCAGGGTCTCTTTCTTCTGTTCTCGCTTTCTGTCTTTCTTGTTGTCTTTCTTCTCGCCGCAGTCTCTCTCTCTCTCTCTCTCTGGTGAGCTTGTATCTTGGCCTTGGCACACCCTGCTTTTTTCTGTGTCCCTAATCACACGGTCACTGAATACCAGACTGAAGGAGCTGCTTGCTACTTTTTATTTTTTAATGTCTAAGCTTTTCACCCAGCTATTTATTTCTCATGCCAGGTCAAGGTTGACAGTGAGGAACAGACTTTCCTCTGTTTGAAGCTTTGTCTTGATTTGTCAGAAGTGTTCGACCGTATGATTGAAGGACATTTGTTAAAGTCAATGTATTTAATTTGTTTAAAAAAAATTGATTTGATTTCAATTCACAAGCTTGCAATTAAATTCTACTCCGATCTTGATTTGATTCATTTGGAGATATTTCTAGCCAGAAGAAATCAAATTGAATATAAGGCAACATTCTCAAGGGAAAAAATCTCTATAAATTGTAATGCAGTAAGGTGGTAAAATACTGTAATCTGTAATAATAACTGAATACAACATTTAAATTGCACATAAGGCATTTTTTATAACATCTATAAAAACATTTTAATCACATCTCTACTCCAATTCACTTTTTTAAATATAAACATTTAAGTTTTTTTTAAATATAAACAGGTTGGCTGTCATAAAAACTTGTTTTTATTATGGATTTATTTAAACATATTAAATATTGAAGAACAGGTTAAGTAGAACTAAAATGAATATGTAATATGCATATTTAGCAAAATGCTCTTTCTAGAGTAAATTTTTCTAGCTAGCTAGCTATGGACTGGCATTTCTGAGGTAAATGTAACGTACGTGACATTGTTTACAAACTGTTTAATTGACATCTATTTCAGTTAAAACAGATTACATGAGACATGATACATTTCTGTAAGTTGTACTGTATCTTTCAGCATACCTTCTGGTGTTCATTCATGTTTATTTTGTGCTGCAGCTACTAGTAAAGAGGAAGACATGATCAGTTCACGTGCGTTTTAGGGCCACCGCCCGATTTGAGGTGGTGACAAAGTGCGCCAAAACTGTATTTATTGTTTGAATTTCATAATAAAATTGACAGAATTTGAAAGCTGAGACTTTGTTTCATATCAAAAGTAACAAAGTACAAAGCCTATTGTGAGATATTGGATGGGAGGTGGGCTACAAATAATCTTTATTTAAGTTTTATTCATGCATCAACTGAAAACAGCATAGATAAAAGATTGATTTTTGGGATTTAAGAACCAGTATCGGTTCATCAAAATGAAAATGAATTAAAAGCGCTATTTTCAACCCATGTATATTCTTCATCAGAATGTTTAGTCTCATGTTTTGTGATCTTCAGATGTTTCGTTTTTGTGTTTCCAGGAGTTGGATGAGGGGGAGTGTAACGGCCTGTCATTGGTACTAGTGACGCAGGATTACAATGCCGTGAAGGAGGACGAGATCTGCGTGGTGGTTGGTGAGAAGGTACAGATCCTGGCGTCCAATCAGCAGAACATGTGCCTGGTTTACCGACCTGCAAACAGCCAATCACCTGCTGCAGAGGGCTGGGTACCGGGTCACGTGCTCTCTTCGACTCAGTAAAGCCACGCCCCCTCAACACCTCGGAATAAACCACTACTCACATTTACCATTCAGTTTCACCAGCCTACTCTGGGAAAGCATGCCACTCAACCTCCTGCTAAGCTACTGTTGGTCAGTCAGAACAGGAAGTACCACCCCTTTCCCCTGCCACCGTACAGTTGAGGACTAAAGATGCACGCTGCAAAAAATGGTGCGATATCACCTCCCATAGTCAATATGGGCAAAAAAAAAACATTTAAAAAAGGAAGCTCAAGAAAATATATTATATTGCTTATAATGAAAAAAAAACAAAAAGATTGTATTGTATAGAGAGGAAACTAAGGTGAATTTGTCAGTGAATTACGTGTGGATGTGTATGGATGTTAACGTCATCCTTTCTCATCAACATGCTCCATTACGCGCAACAGACTGTTTTTAAATGGGGCTCTCCCTTTTTTCCTGTTTGTCTATGCCAAGTCATTTGCACACTGTGTATATTTTCTTTTACTGAGATTTTATTTTTGGAAAGTTTTTTTTTTCCCCCAAGTGTCTTATTTTTACAGCTATTAGGTGTGGCACATTTATTATTTCTTTTCAGTTCTGTCAACCAGTTCAGTGTTCTGTACAAAGTATTCTGCACTTTTCCAACAAATAGTTGTGCAATATCACAATCGTCCCAATGCTCATAACTGTACTTGTAACTAAAGATTTAAATGTATTATTCTGTATCATTTTAAATATGTACATAATATTTTTGACATTGCCATAATAGATACACAGCAGAGCAAAATGGTCCCTCTATTCCTGTCAGGCTCAAGAAAAAAACACACCTGAACTAAACCCTGGTAGTCTGCACTGCCTCCAAAACCCAGCCCTCTGATTTTTACATTCGACATCATCAGATTTAGTATGTAATAAGAACAGATGTTTACTCAAATCAGTCGATTAAAAATGGATGTTGTTGATTTCTGAAGAGTAGTCTCTGCTGTCAGCGTTCAGATCTCAGATATACGTGTAAATATACGTAAAAATAAAAAAATAATTCTAGCAGGTATTTCACTTGTTAAACTGTTAAAATGTTCATAATAAAGGTGACAATTTTTCATCTTGGAAATTATGCGTTCTGTATCATTTGAACATCTGTGCATCTATCATTAGCTGCGACAGAGCTATTGTGCTTAAAATGTGAATATAAAATTCAGTTTATATTAGTATTAATAAGAGTGCTTTAAATGCAGTCAACTTCAAGAATATACAAATTGTCTCAGTATCACAGTAGTTACTGCATGGGCATGTTACAGTGAAAATACAGTAAGTACTCCTAAAGAAACAATAAATAAATTGTTAATGCAGTTGCCTATATAAGCGCTCAAACATTGCTGTCATCTACATCCTGCTCTCTGTCCCAGTGATAACCATGGTCAGGCAAAGGGAGCACTTTTCCCTTATTAAAACAATAAGGGGGAAAATGGATTAAAGTTTAGGATTTAGGATTCATGGATTTAGTTGTTTGAAATAATGTACTATGACATGATCTGAAGATTGACATAATGCCGAGTTCACACTGCACGATTTTCAAACTCGTCGGATCGCCGTTGTTTTCACACTGCATGACTATCCGGGGTAGCATTCAGTTGCTGCTGTGTTCGCACTGCACGATGGATCGGCGACAGGGGGTTTCACACTGCATGACTTCACAATAGGAAGAATCGCCGACAGCTCTGTCTGGTCCGCAAACTACGTTTCACAACAAAACACACGGTCAGTAATGCCGAGTTCACACTGCATGATTTTCAAACTCGGATCGCCTTTGTTTTCACACTGCGTGACAATCTGGGGTAGCATTCAGTTGCTGCTGTGTTCACACTGCACGATGGATCGGCGACAGGGGGTTTCACACTGCATGACTTCACAATAGGAAGAATCGCCGACAGCTCTGTCTGGTCCGCAAACTACGTTTCACAACAAAACACACGCGAGAAGTGATAAGGAAATAACGCGAAAACCCGCGTGCGTCAGACGAGCGAGACTGGAATTATTAAAAAAAGATATATACATAGCCCGCAAATTGTCTGTGAGCTGATTTCCAGCTACAAGGAGAAAAAGAAAAACAGATTATGCAGGAGGGAGATGCAGGGAACAGGGATTGGGTGTTCTGCAAACAGAGTTGGAGGTAAATAATTTTGCAGTAACTGTTATGCTGATGTTGTGGCTGGTCAAGCAAATGTTTGTGTTTGTTTCTGTATGATATAATTGTTCATTTTATTTTTATATTTATTGTTCAATCTATTAAAATTCTGATATTCTGGTCTATAACTCCTCCCAGAACTTCCCGCTGCCCTGTATCTTGGTCTCTCATTGGCTGTAGGTCATCGCCGATGTGTTTTTCAGTCAGAACTCATTTCACACCGCGTGATTGTGAATCGCCGACAGCTCCAGATATTTAGCATGCCAAATATTCCGCGGGTGTCGGCGACGCATCGGCGATTCCCTCAGATCGTGTCTTTGATAATTCACACTGCGTGATTGTCACTCGCGTGCACGAGCACCGATTTTCCTCCGATGTCAGGCATTTGTCGGCGATTTCGCAAAACCTGTCGGCGAGTGAAAAATCCGGCTAAAATCGTGCAGTGTGAACTCGGCATAAGTTAACGCAATAAAAGCTATTTTATTTCACATTTATTTCATGATACTACTCTCATTATCTCACTAACCCTGCTGTTATTGGAAACTTTCGCTGAGGTATAAAGTGAATAATGGGTAAGAACGAAGCATTCATGTCTACTATGGTATTAGTATCTGAAAACCTTTGCTTTATGCCGAGTTCACACTGCACGATTTTAGCACGATTTTTCACTCGCCGACAGGTTTTGCGAAATCGCCGACAAATGCCCGACATCGGAGGCAAATCGGTGCTCGTTCACGCAAATGACAATCACGCAGTGTGAATGATCAAAGACGCGATCTGAGGGAATCACCGATACGTCGCCAACGCCCACGAAATATTTGGCATGCTAAATATCTGGAGCTGTCGGCGATTCACAATCACGCGGTGTGAAATGAGTTCTGACTGAAAAACACATCGGCGATGACCTACAGCCAATGAGAGACCAAGATACAGGGCAGCGGGAAGTTCGGGGAGGAGTTATATGAAATGTAGATTGCGGACCAGTGTTGCCAAATTTGCGATTGCCGCCAGCTGTTTTTTATGTCAGCAGGTTGAAGCGACCCCAATAATGTGATATTTAGGCCCTGGAATATGAATTATATGAAGGAATATGAACCAGGAGAACCCCGCCAAAAAAGTTTGTATTTTTACTTTATTCTTGTATTTTTTCAAAACGAGACACTTTTAGCAGATGAATCTGAAAAAACAACACAAGTTTTAGACAAAAAAAAGAAAAGAAAAAAAATCTAAATCACCACAAGGGGACAGGATTTCTCAGTTTGCAGCAACTGAAAACTACAGAATGTAAATAACACCAGAGATGGTTTTATTATTGGTTTTGATAATATTTAGAGTCAGACATTTTTAACGGAAGCCATTTATTTCAGCTCAAAGCACCACACACAGTGTATGGAATGACAGAAAAAAAGCTTTTTAAAAATGAGTAATTTAAAAATGCTCTCATTATGCATCATTTGCTGTTATTTGCTATATTTGTGTGAGTATACTGGATAAAATGGTATGCACATTAATAATAAACAGTGTTTCCGCGGTCCTTAAAAGTCTTAAATTTAGTTGTATCAAATTTAAGGCCATAAAAAGTCTTAAATTGTACAAGAAAGTCATAAATATGATTTCAAGAGGTCTTAAATTTGGGGAGGGAAAGACAAGAATCGCTATATGGCTTAGTGTGACGATTAAACTTCATTAAATAAACATGAGCACTGCTTTGTTCTGCCGTTACCAGGGAAACCGCTGTATTTCTTCTGTTCCAAAAGCGCCTCCTGCTGGCAGAGAATGAATCAGCATTTTCAATCAGCCATCTGCTGTTTTTGTGAAGACCAATGCGAAAATCGACCCATATTTTTACACTACAATCACGCAGAGTTGTAAATGTGACCTGGTGGATCGACAAGAAAATAATGCATTATAAAAATCTAAACAATTAAGGCAGTAAAATATTTAATGTTTAATTATTTAATGCTATTTAATATAATAATTGCTTGTCAATAATTGTTTAAATTCATATAATAATTTATACTTTTGACTCATCCTGTTTCTTAAAAATGGTTTAAAGGCTGAAATGTGACGTTTATCATTTTATAAAACTTTTTGTGAAAATTTGTATCTGACTTGTAAATCATGCTTTTTACAGTAATTTTACAGTTTAATATGTTACCATAGACATTTCCCTACCCCTCTATTCATTTTGTTTGTGCAGGTCTTACAAAGTCTTAAATTTGAGCCTAAAAATCCTGCATATACCCTGATAAAATATCAAGCTTTTTAAAAAAGATGGTTAAAAAATACCTCCAACAGCTTTATATAAACTAACTCTTCAATCCTTAACTGAGCAGTGGCTTCAGCTTTTTTTCCCCTCTTGTTCATTTTGTCACTGTGTAAATAATAAAGTTATAATTACCAAAGTACCTTAACTTAAATAGTCAGAGCAAAATCTCGTATAATTCAATAGAAATATTTCCTTTAGCACAAGTTTTCACATATAAAATAGAAAGTACTACAGGTACTACGTGACAGGAATCACCCATCTGATTCCGTTGCTCAAGAGTTTTGCCGCTCATCCAAGTCGCTTCAGAAGCTGACATACCTGACAACTCTTGAGCAACAGAGAATCGCACGCACTTAACTATTATAGCTGTAGTGCATGTCCTTGTTCTAATATTATTGCACTGCAACTGAAACACTGAAATTGATCTTTATTGATACAAGAACAGCTACAATGTTATAGTATCTGGATACAATTATAGTTCTTATTTTAAATTAGTTTTCATTTGTATATTTTCTGTTTTCATTTCAATTTTAGTTAATGTTTTAGTAATTAAGTGTTTTTGTCATTATTATTATTTAATGTGTATAGTTTTTATTAATTTTTATTTCAATTTTAGTTATTTCAGTACATCAAAATAAACAAAAATAAAATGAGAAATGCTGCCTTTGCAACTAGCAGAAATGCAATAAGCTTTTCACAGATGCAAGTCACCGTGTCGGTCAATTGGCAACAGGTTTTTTTTTTAACAAACTACCATTTCTAGTTCATTGTTTATATTTAAAGCTGCAGTCCGTAACTTTTTTTGGTTAAAAATGATCTGAAATCAATATTTGAGCAAGTACATAACCAGCCAGTGTTCAAAACTATCGCCTTACTTTAGCCCGATTCACAACGGTTAGCTTATAATAATGTTTTCTAATTTGAGTGGTACGGGTAGGTTTTCGCAGGAAATTCGAGCATGGCACTACGTCATTACGTGACGTCTGTAAACATAAAGAAGTTGTCCCGGCTACTAGGCTATTGCATGTGAGTATCCTGCAGGTGGAGGATCGTTTATAACCTTTTCTCACAGCAGCCAGAATAATTAAATGTATCATTTTGATGGCGGATTGTAATCCAGAAAGGATTATGTGTTTATGAAACACATGTGAATGAAATTAAATTATATTCCAGTTATAAATGTGCTTCTGATTACAGATAGCCTGGGATTACAAAGATTTAAAGAAAACTAGTTCAAAGGGAGCATCATTTGCTTTTTGGGTTAAAAGAATTTCTTAATATGAAATTCGAAGTGTATGACAATTAGATTAGACTGTGCAGAAATTGAAATCTACATGCTAATACACACTATACTCATAGTCACCAATG